TTTGTGAAGATAAATTATTAAATTTCAATTGAGCCATTTTCAGGACGATTAACGTGGAATCGCAATATCACACCTTTAAAATACTTGTTCAACGAATATGGTTGCATCGTGAGGATTAATGGACCTCTTTCAGGAGATATTGTCATGATTCACAGGTAACCTTTTCCCAGGTAATAATTTTCGATAATCTCGCCTAATTACATCTTTGCCTATTATCCTTGTTCCTTGCTGTAGACCCGAACACATAGCGGAAGTCTTTAAACAGGAAGGTGATACACCTGTACGTAGTGGAATCGATATTTTGCAACATTATCGGTTGAACTATCGTAAATATCGTCTTGCAGGGCCGTTCTCCATGTTAGTAAATACCTGGAAAATTATATAAATATATGAAATCGAAACATAAATCCATCATCTAATTTATTGAATTATATTTAGGCAGGGTACAGAATGGTTGGAAATCAGAGACAAAGTGGAAGACACGTTCAATCAAATTTCCTCGACGTTTTTTACTAAAATCGACACGTGCTGCAACGAGCTTATCACTAGGATATGCAAAATACGCAATAGACAAAATGAAGTTCGTATCAAATTCTTATTTAATTCGAAGCGATATTAATTATCCGTCATTTCAACGTACGATGAATTAATTATGAGAACAGGTGCCAGTTAGCTTTTACGAGGATTTGATTCGTTGGGCCATGGAGTGTTTCTGCGATCTAACGTTTAACAAACGTCTAGGCTTTCTGGAGCCGATAGGTTACAATTCATCGTCCGAAGCATCGAAACTTATAAACGCCTTGACGACGGCTCACAAGTATATGAGCCGCTGTGAAACTGGATTTCAAGTTTGGCGATTCTTCTTGACACCATTCGCCAGAAAGCTTTTCGAGGCTTGTGACGTGCTCGATAAGTAAGTAAGATCCAGGAAATTTCTTTTTTTCTTCTCAAAATTATTTACATTTTCATAGAAAATTTCTTCTAATTCCATCTTCTTCTCCAGTGTCATAGGAAAATATGTTCGTCAAGCCCAGTGTAAACTTCGAGTTCGAAAATCTCATAGCGAAGAAAGTTCAATGACTGACCGTTCGCCTGTTTTGGAAAAATTACTCTTGAACGAGGGTATTCATCCGGATGATATCTGTACGATGCTGATGGATATGATCATTTTGGGTATACAAGCGGTGAGAGATTGATAATATTACGTATGAATATTTCGATCAAATTTTACGTTCGACGTTTGTGTGATTTTCAGACGGTAAATTCAGAGGCATTTTTGTTATATCACTTGGCAAAGAATCCTCGGACTCAAAGAAAAGTTTACGATGAAATCATATCCGTTCTGTCAAATGACAATTCTTCTTTCACAGAGAAGTCATTGAAAAATATGCCATATTTGAAAGCTTGCATTCAGGAAACTTTAAGGTATTGATTTTGATAAGAATGAATTTAACGTACATCTAAGAATTGTATCATTAATATAAAACGAATCGTTTGATTCAAAGATTGCATCCCGCGATTCCGTACATCACAAGACTCTTACCAAAAACTATATCTCTTCATGGATACACAATACCTAAAGGAGTAAGCGTGATAGAATTAAAAAAAGTAGAATTAAAAAGTATTATCACCTTATTGAAAAATAAAATTTCCACAGACGTTTGTCATAATGGCGAATCAAATTACCTCGCAACGCGAGGAGAACTTTGAAGATCCATTCAAGTTCTGGCCGGAAAGATGGTTGTCCAATTCTTCGAAGGAGGACGTACATTTTAGCTATTTACCTTTTGGCCACGGTATAAGGTCGTGCTTAGGGAAAAATATGGCTGAAGCAAAAATGATGCTACTGACCGCGAAGGTATATAAATTTAATCAATCAATCATTATCATTCGATCGTATAATTCTAACCTCGTTTTGCAGCTTGTACGACAATTCAGAATTGAATACGATTACGCTGATATCAAAAGCAGATTTATGATGGTGAATGTACCCAATAAACCTCTTCGTTTCCGTTTCGTGAATAGGAATTAGAGCACATGCGATATTAGTTATAAGCACCGATTATTGTAACGAACGGTGTAGGTAGAAATACATTTCATTTCTTGTTAATTAAGTTAGCACCTCAGATACAGCGATACGTAATTTAGAGTAAGTAACAATAGTTGTAATTTGTCACTCACTTTTATTCAATATTGATTACATGGAGAAAGAATAATAAAATATCGTTATCTGTCCATTAAATTATTTTTTCTTTGCTTGAATTATTCGAATTAATATAATTATTACGTATTAATATAATTATAAAGAATCGTCAATTTGAATATTTAATTTTCATCTTTATACATCAGGACTCGTAGCGCGGTAAACATAGAAAGCACGTTTGTGATGAACTGAAATATTGATCAAATGAAATATATTACTTCAAAAGTATATAATTATAATTTTATACGATTATCCACGTACCGAGCAATAATAATTGAGCGAGAAAGCTGGAATGATGCATCTGATTCTTAAAATCACTGGAGTTTGTGGAATCGTCGTAAACAATACGAATTTTTGTACTTTCAAAGATCGTTTATACCATTCCGATTCGTAAACCGTTCGCATCGTATTTTCACTCTGGGGGATAGACACATGTTTAATTTCTTTTTTTTTTTTTTTTT